TATGCATACCAACTTAACGGGAAGAAACTCAGCTAACTAGAAGAAGAAACGTAACCTTAAATAAAAAATAAAACATTCACAAACTAAGTAAGGATTATCTAAATACATGTTTAACTCCATTACAGTTGCAAGACTCACCAGATCTCAAGTCTTCTGTTCTTTGTTGACGTCCCGATGCTCATATTTAACGTGTAGATGTAAAACGATCCCGATATGAATCCATAAACTCCTGTAGCAGACACACAGACAGCTGTAGCTCCAGCAGGAGGAGACCCGCTCAAACTGACTTGGATGTTTCAAATGTGAACGACAGGCGCGGACAGTTCTCATTGGCAGGTTTCTTCGATGATGTTTATATTAACCAATCAGGAGTGTTGTGGACTCATTCCAAACATGCCTGACTTGTCTGCCGTGTTTTGGCTGAATTCTATTTCAAGTGCCGTAGCTCTGGCTGTCGGCCAGAATCCGAAAACCATACATTATACTGTAAAACTAAGGTTTATTACTGTAAATTGACCAATGGAAAAAAAACACAGCAACAGAACACATAAATAAAACAAGGATAACTGTGACTTATTGTTGAGTAAATAACAGTGTGTGTTTTAAACCTTGGTCCTCCCTGCAGAGATTTCTCCACTTTCTATGATTTTTTTTTTTAAATGATATTGTCAACTGTAGATGTTTACAATATAGTAAGTTAGGAATTTCATGAAAACATATTTATTTACTTTTGTTTCAACATTGGATATTTTGTGTTTTTGTTGGATTCAATCGAATATTGAGAAAATGATTTATGTAAAAATGTTTTACTTACATTTTACGTTTTTTTTATTTTACGCTTTTCTTACAGTTTTATGTTTACCTTAAAATTACAAAGAACATCTTAAAGTCTTATAATAGTAATACACTTTTATATTACGAGTTACATATTTAATTACAGATAAAAACATTTTATTTTACATACATCTGCATGTATTTTCTGAAAGTGCAAAAATACTGTAAATATTATATAGTAAATTTACAGTAAAAAAAAGACGAAATAAACGTTATTTGTTGTTATTGTCAAAATACTTCAAATAATGTTTTGGGTTGTTAATTTATAGTTAATATCTGTTATTTTAAAGGATTTTGCAAGTTATTTAAAAAAACATGATAATTACTATACAAATTTACAGTTATTTCCTGTAAAATTACGATCTTTTTTTACAGTGTAGGCACGGTGACGGAGACAGGGGAGGTGGTGCGCGTCTCTGCTTCGGTGATTTTGATGGGCGTCGTTGAGGAGCGGGGGTAAAGGACATGCTGCCAGCCCTGCGTATCGCCTTAGTTTGGTTATTGAACTCCAGGAAGAAATCGATGCCAACCCTCTGTATCTCCTTCATGTGTTCAGCGATCTCCAGGAGGGTGGGCGAGGGTGAAAGGGTGAATGGAGAGTAGAGAGAGCTGTGGGGTGAAGGAAGAGTATCCTCAGAGGTGATAGGGTGGGTGAAGGGTGGTGGAGACTCCTCCATTTGTCTCCCATAATCAAGACATTCCTTAGGCGGGTGCAGTGATAGATTTTCAAGGTTTTCTGAGCGATGTGTTGTGTCTTTCTCTTGTTTTGATTCCTCTTGTTGCTTGTCCTTGGCAGAGGGAACAGATTGATGACGCAGGCAGTTGAATATGTTAGAGATAAACAATTTCACTCCTGACTTGTTCAGACAAACTCCATTTGCCTTAAAAAGATGTCTGCGGTCCCAGAAAAAGTTAAAGTTGACAATAAAATGGACAGAATGGTCAATACAGACAGTTGAAAGCCACGTGTTCAGTGCAAACAATCTGCTGAATCTCTCCACTCCTCCTCTGACTGGCGGTAAAGGGCCACTGATGAACACCTCTGCATTTAGAGAGCTGACAGTTTCCAACAGACATTTAAAGTCTTTGTTCAGCACTTCTGACTGTTGTTTCACAACATAATTTGTTCCAATGTGTAGTACCACATTTCTCACAGTCGGATGTTCAGCCCCAATATGCAGGATTTTCTCAGCCAAGTCAGAGACCATATCCTTGTGAAAACAGAGTACTTTGGTGTTGTTCTTACTACACAGACTGTTTACATCTCTTACAGCAGAGTCACCCATAATCACCGTTTCAGGCCCTGTCGTTAGCTTTCCCTCTAGCCTTTTACTTTTGGAGTAGTGATAACAATGCAGGCCAGCCAGTCGCATCACAAATTTCAGAGCGCTGGGCTCTGCCTGTTGTTCGTCCTCCCAAATCCCATGGAAATGATTTACTTTTCGGCCTTGCACCCAGAGAGTTCCAGGGAGGACTACCACTTGTAGATTTATAACCTGTTCATTGGAATCCTTGTAGCTGCTAACTAGCTTTGAGTTAGCGTGCCTTTGTCCATTCTATTGCAACACTGGTAAAGTGGTGTCATTCCAACCAAGTCCATTCACTTCCACGTTAACTTCCAACCGTTGCATTTTCATTTCCAACACGGCCATCTTCTGTAGAAGTTTGTGGAAGTCATCTGTGGAGAACGGAGACATTTTGCTGCTATCTAGCTTAAGCTAAATAGCATACAGTACCAGGCTTTAGCTGTTGCTAGGCCACGCCACTGTAAGAGTGAGGTCGTCGTAAAAATATTTAAATATGGCTGAAACCCTCCGTCTATTTACGAAGAATAACTGTCCCAGTGATAGGTTAATGTCCAGGAGCCTTTGCTCGAAGTTTTCAGAAAAAGAAAAATAGAAAAACAGCATAAAAAAGTAAGCAGAGGCAAGAGCAAGCAGAAACGCGTCTGCACTGTAAGAAGGCTGGGAGGAAAGCAGTGAGATCTTAAGGAAAAGTCATAATAATCTGGAAACAATGGGAACACAGACAATGCAAAGGAGTGGGAGGGATTTGAGAGATTAAAAGGATTGAGAGGGAGGCAGAACCGAATAAAGCCTCAGAAGCTGACACGGCGGTAAGATTTTCTTGCGAGCCAGCACAGATCAAAAGTTATTGCGAAAATCCAAGAAGACAGAAGAAGAAATTATGGGGAGAAAAGTTATGCGGAGGAGGATGACAGCAGAGGACTTAGATATGAAGAGGGGGTGACAACCCAAGGGACGACATCGGGTAGACAGTAGAGGTCCACATCAATGGATGCAGGACAGAAAAGGATGAGTGGGGACACATCTGTGTAGACGCAGCCAGCCGTGTGTGACCGATGCTCCGTGAGGTCACCTGTCAGGGGGGGGGGGGGGGCTGCTGCTGGGTACAGGGGGCAAGGCCAGCTCTGCAGGAGGCAGGTACCAAGACAGATGTAGAAAGAAGGGGGACAATGGGTGGGGGGAATACATGCAGGTGGAATGAGAAACACATCTAAGGAAATAATTCTGAGGCAGGAGAGATTTATTTATTTGGCTTAATTTCTCTATTCATGTGCTTTGTTCAAAATATAGTATAAAACAAAATAAAGAAACATGACTTATCATATACCATATATCTTTAGGCAGTTTTATTTTGATATGAAGGAAAAAGAAAATACATAAACTAAATTAAATAACTCATATCATATTAATGGGGATAATTATATTATATCAGGGGTTTTTATGTGGAGGGAAAAAATCATATTAAATGAATAAATCATATAATTTTAAGGGGGATGGTAATAAAACATCTATATAATAAATAAATCATAAGGGGGAATATTTGAAAAATCTGAGGTTTTTTGACATGGAGGTAAAAAACTATATCAAAAATAAATCAGTCATACCATATCAAGAATTGGATGAAAAGAAAAACATATCCAAGGGGTCATAATGAAAATCTGGGTTTTTTTTAAGAATGCGAAAACACATATTTAGGGTAAAATTAAAGCTGATTGCAAGACAGATATATATATAGGGGACTAAGATTTGTCCTTTAATAATATCTTTAAAATACTACCCCTTGCTTTATTTCATTGTAAAACTTACTTCATTAAGGGTCAAATAAGATAATTTAACAAAGTACACACAAAGTATTTCTTATTCCATGATACAGAACTTTTCTCATCTGTCAAGTAACAAAATTTTCTGTTTGCTCTCACAGGACGTGCTCTGCACCAGACAGACTCAGTTTGAGACTAGCTCTGTAGCATATGGAGCATTTAGCAGGTAAAGAGACAGATATTTCCCTCAAGACAGAAATAAAAAAGAAAAGTAGAATGTGTTATGTGCTGGGTCTGAATTTCAGTCAGCTGCTGGTGTGCAAAGCCCGTAAAAGGTTTCTTGGGAAACAGAAGGCCTGAGATAATGTGTTTAGTATATTGAAACGGCCCTATGTAGCAATATGAACATGAAAAGCAATAGCCACTTCGTCTAACTGAGAATATGTGATGAAAAAATGGATGAACCAAAAGAGAATGAATTTCGCCTTTTCGTTTTAATACCAGAAATAATGATGATACTATTATTTTATGTCTACGGTCTAGGGAAACCTAGACATAACCAAAAGGGTCAGGGACAACATGTGAAGAACTTCAATTTCAGCAGTTTACTTAACTTCAGACAAAACAACAAATCAAAGATTTTCTAAATAAAAATAACCCTTAACATTCTTAACAAAAAGAATGTGAGAAAACAGGGATTCACAATAAATAAAAAATGGCATCTCACTCCTACTACTGCTTTTTAGGTTTCAAAATTAAAAAGTGACAAGGTAGATGTGGCAACGGGGTGGGGTTAGGGCGCCGGCTGCTGGAGTGAAGGGAGTGGCTCGGCCGGAGGCCAGACAGCTGATCGGAATCAGGTAATCAGTGCCGGAATAAAAGCATGTCGTAACCTGGTTCTGGTCTGTTTTGCAGTAGGCGGGATCCTGGAAGGGGGCAAAAGGACCTGTGAAGGTTGCCACGCGGGCAACGTTGGAGTAGTGGATACTTTTGTTTGGAGCTAATAAACGCCATATATGTTACACGAACCTGCTCTTCCGTCCATAATTGAACCCTGTGTGAGCGGAGAGGCTCACAGTGGCCCCTGAACAGGGACATCATGGCGGAAGGAGAAACCCCGCTGGGGCAGGCCCTCCAACGTCTCGCTCACATGCAGGAGACCACCACAGCATTACAGCGACAGCAGAGCGAGGCTCTGCTCGGGATCGCCTCGAGCCAGCGCGAGGACCGGGCTCTCCTACGGGAGCTGCTGCAGCGTCCGACCGCTCAGGAGGCCGATCCCGCGACCAACCCGGCCCGACCGCCTTCAATTGCCCTCCAGAAGTTGACGGCAGAGGATGATCCGGAGGCATACCTGGACATCTTTGAGGGCACAGCGGCGGTGTGCGGGTGGCCAGAGGAGGAGTGGCCGGCCCGGCTATTGCTTCTGCTATCTGGGGATGCGCAGCTAGCCGCCCACAGCCTGCCAGCAGCCTCTCGGCATGTGTACCGGCATCTGAGGAAGGCCATACTGGACCGGCTTGGCAGCACGCCAGAGGGACATCGCCGCCGGTTCCGGGCCCTCCCCTTCGAGGACGCTGACCGGCCCTTCTCCTATGCGCAGCGGCTCCGGGATGCAGCGAGCCGCTGGCTCCAGCCGTGGGTGCGCTCCGCTGAAGAAGTCGTCGGGCAGGTGGCGCTGGAGCAGTTAATCGCCGGCCTGCCATCTTGGACGGCGAATTGGGTCCAGTGCCATCGCCCCGCCAACCTGGAAGCAGCCGTCGTCCTCGCGGAGGACCACCTCTCGCTTCCCCGGCGGAGCATGAAAGAGGAGCCCCGACCACCAGCCGTTTCAGCGGCCCGACCCGTCCCAGCCCCGAGGAGGAGGTTTCCGGGAGCAGCTGCCCTTCCCTCCCCACCACCACACGGCCCCAACCCCGCAGCCCCGACACTTTTCCCCCAAGCCCTACCTTACCCTCCTGTGTTTATCTCTCCCCAGGGTCCGGCCTATGCTTCTGGTCGTCCGGCAACACGGGGGGCTCCTCAGACGTCAGGGCAGGATTGCTGGCGGTGCGGGCAGCCCGGCCACTTCCGACGGGAGTGTCCTCTCATGGAGGTCGGACAGCTGGTTCGGGTTGCGGGACCGCCAGTTGCCTCCCCCGATTTGGAAGGGACGTACCGTATACCGGTATGTATACAGGGGGGTACACACCAGGCTCTGATGGACACGGGCTGTAATCAGACGATGATCCATCAGCGCTTGGTTCGGCCTGGGGCATTGATTGAAGCATCGTGGGTGAAGGTGAGGTGTGTGCATGGGGATATTCACCAGTACCCGGAGGTGACACTGGAAATTTCTTATAAGGGGAAAAAGCATAGAGTCAGGGCTGGAGTTAGCACTCGCCTTACGCACCCCCTGATTTTGGGAACGAATTGGCCGGGGTTTGCTAAGCTAGCGGGGGCTATGGGGGTGCGTTCATGGACGGCAGGGAAATGTGAGTTGTGTGCGGTGTTTAGTGGAGAGTCGGAGGCGGCTGACGACGTCGAGGGGGAAACTGACACGGAGGGGGCCGCGGAGGCCCCTCTGGACCCGCTGGTGTTTCCCGTGGAGGATTTCCCCCTCGAACAGTCGAGGGACGAGACCCTTCAGCACGCCTTCGGCCAGGTGGTGAGTATTGATGGCTCCCAGCTACACCCAAACGCAGCACTCACTCACCCACACTTTACGGTGGTTAGGGACAGGCTGTATCGTGTAAGCCGTGACGCACAGACAGGAGAGATAAATACCCAGTTGTTGGTGCCAAAAAGCCGTCGGGAAATGGTTTTCCAGGCGGCTCATTATAACCCCATGTCAGGTCACCTAGGGTACGACAAATCACTACACCGGATAATGGCCCGATTTTATTGGCCGGGCATTCGCGCAGATGTGAAGCGGTGGTGTGCATCTTGCCGTGAATGTCAGCTGGTTAACCCGCCGGCCATCCCCAGAGCGCCTTTGCGGCCGTTACCATTGATTGAGGTGCCTTTTGAGAGAGTTGGTATGGACCTCATCGGGCCATTAGACCGGAGTGCACGGGGATATCGCTTTGTACTAGTCCTAGTGGATTATGCAACGCGATATCCCGAAGCAGTGCCGCTGCGTAATATCTCTGCAAAGAGCGTCGCGCAGGCACTGTTTCACATTATCTCCCGAGTCGGGATCCCGAAAGAGATCCTGACTGACCAGGGCACACAGTTTATGTCACGCACACTACGCGAGCTGTATGAACTACTGGGCGTCCATTCAATACGGACTAGTGTTTACCATCCGCAGACCGACGGCCTGGTGGAACGGTTTAACAAAACACTAAAGAACATGGTTCGTAAGTTCGTTCACGAAGATAGTCGGAATTGGGATAAATGGCTAGATCCTCTGTTGTTTGCAGTGCGGGAGGTGCCCCAGTCCTCCACGGGATTTTCTCCCTTTGAGCTTTTATTTGGTAGGAAGCCCCGGGGTGTTTTGGACCTAGTTAAGGAAAACTGGGAGGAGGGTCCAAGCACCAGTAAAAACGAAATACAGTACGTTATGGACCTGCGAGCAAAACTCCACTCACTGGGGCAGATATCACGGGAGAATTTGCTCCAGGCTCAGGAACGTCAGCAGCGCCTGTACAACAGAGGGTCGAAACTGAGACAATTTTCACCGGGAGATAAAGTGCTTGTATTACTCCCATCCTCTAGCTCTAAACTACTCGCCAAGTGGCAAGGACCCTTCGTGGTCACACGACGAGTGGGGGACGTAGATTATGAGGTGGTGCGTTCTGATAGGGGAGGAGCAACACAGATGTACCACCTTAACCTCCTGAAAGCATGGAGGGAGGTGGCGTCTGTTTCTCTGGCCACCACGGTGATTGAGAGAGATGAGTTGGGACCAGAGGTCATTAAAAGCGACAAATTAGCCCCGGTCTGTTGTGGCGACAATCTCTCACCGGGCCAGAGAGCAGACGTTGCTTCGTTGCAAAGGCAGTTTGCCGACGTGTTCTCTCCGCTGCTAGGGCGCACCTCTCTCATACACCACCGCATAGAAACGGCCCCGGGCGTGGCCATTCGTTCACGGCCCTATCGGCTGCCTGAACATAAGAGGAAAATTGTTCAGGCGGAGCTTCAGGCTATGCTAGAAATGGGAGTGATAGAAGAGTCTACCAGTGACTGGTGTTGCCCCGTCGTGCTGGTACGTAAGTCCGACGGGTCAATCCGGTTCTGTGTGGACTACCGCAGGGTGAACGAGGTGTCCAAATTCGATGCTTATCCAATGCCCCGGGTCGACGAACTCCTGGATCGGCTAGGCACCGCTCGCTTTTACACGACCCTGGATTTAACCAAGGGCTATTGGCAGATTCCCCTTTCTCCAGAGTCTAAGGAAAAAACGGCCTTCTCCACTCCGTATGGTTTATACCAATTCATCACACTTCCTTTCGGGTTGTTCGGAGCTCCAGCCACCTTCCAGCGGCTCATGGACCGGGTGCTGCGTCCCCACTCTGCATATGCTGCTGCTTACTTGGATGATGTCATCATTCACAGTGAGACATGGGAGCAGCATATGCAGCAGGTGGGGGCAGTGCTCGAGTCCCTGAGGCAGGCGGGGCTCACGGCCAACCCGAAGAAGTGTGCGGTTGGACGGAGGGAGGTACGGTATCTGGGGTACCACTTGGGCGCGGGCAGGTGCGGCCACAGGTAGAGAAAACAACCGCCATTTCCGCCTGTCTGGCGCCCAAGACGGAAAAAGAGGTCAGGAGGTTCATGGGGCTGGCCGGTTACTACAGGCGGTTCATCCCGTCCTTTTAGGAGCTGACCAGTCCCCTGACCGACCTGACCCAAAAGGGTGCTTCAGATCCGGTCCAGTGGACGGAGCGGTGTCAGCTGGCGTTTGAGAGGGTTAAAAAAGCCCTCTGTGGTAAGCCGCTTCTGTATTCTCCTGACTTCTCTCTCCCTTTTGTGTTGCAGACCGATGCCTCGAACAGTGGGGTGGGGGCCGTTTTGTCCCAGCAAGTAGAGGGGGTCGACCGCCCCGTACTGTACATTAGCCGTAAGCTCGCCCAGAGGGAGGTGAACTACAGTACGGTGGAAAAGGAGTGCCTCGCCATACGGTGGGCGGTCGGCGCCCTGCGGTACTACCTCCTGGGGCGCCCTTTCACCCTCTGGTCGGACCATGCCCCGCTCCAGTGGCTCCACCGCATGAAGGATGCCAACGCTCGGATCACTCGGTGGTATCTGGCGTTACAGCCTTTCAACTTCAAGGTGATCCACAGGCCGGGTAACCAGATGGTCGTGGCTGATTTCCTCTCTCGCTCAGCGGAGGGGGGGGAGAGTCAGCTTGCGGCCGGCGGGATCCCGGCCTGAGTCGGGCGGTGGGGGTATGTGGCAGCGGGGTGGGGTTAGGGCGCCGGCTGCTGGAGTGAAGGGAGTGGCTCGGCCGGAGGCCAGACAGCTGATCGGAATCAGGTAATCAGTGCCGGAATAAAAGCATGTCGTAACCTGGTTCTGGTCTGTTTTGCAGTAGGCGGGATCCTGGAAGGGGGCAAAAGGACCTGTGAAGGTTGCCACGCGGGCAACGTTGGAGTAGTGGATACTTTTGTTTGGAGCTAATAAACGCCATATATGTTACACAAACCTGCTCTTCCGTCCATAATTGAACCCTGTGTGAGCGGAGAGGCTCACAGTAGAATATTCAGACAATCATATATTACTCTTATTCTAAGCACAACAACCTTGCTGAAAGGCCTATACGGAGCAACACAACTTTCACATTTCTCTCATTTTGATTACACCATCAAACTTGCCATAAAGCCTATGAGAAAACACTACTAACATACAAATCACCAAACCAACAAAGTGCTGGCTCTCGGTTCGGAACAGGAGAGGTGAAAGAGGGAGAGTGACTGGCGTGCTCCAGTTCAAATAGGCATGATGTCAACCGGTGGTCCAATCAGGAAACAGCAATCAGCAAACTGGTCCAATCATCAGGCGGAACCTGAATCTCACACACATGCACATACAGAGTAGAGAGATCTGCCACAGATATAGACATAATGACCCATTGTCATAACAATTACTTTAGATTAAACTCTTCTACACCGCACCCCCGATACCAGGGGGAAAAACTTGTCATCTGCAGGAAACAGCGTCTGAGGGCATCTTAATGAATTAGCCACGAGCGAAAAATGCTAACATGGGGGTTGCACATAAACTCACTCATAACACCCTTTTTCTTATCGTAGCTGCACGCCCAACCCATCGATTCGCATCGTGAGATGACACAGAATCGATGGATACATACATCATCACTCCATGATAAGAACTCGCGAAGCTAAAACAAAAACAGACATCAAAACATGTGGCGCTAGGTAGCAACATGGCCTACCTTGGTCGTTGTCTGGTCAAAAGTCTTCTTCAATGGCATTAAAACGCTAAAGACTTTTCTAAATCCAACTCACAGGTTTATCATTACTTTGGGAAAACATATTATTAATGTAACCCTTTTAGAAGGGAAGATATGGCCATTTGTTCTGGGAATGTCATTTTCGAGCCTGAGACCTGAAAACAGGCTCGGGGCTTAACAGGTTAAGAAAAAACATTTTTGATTTTCATATTTTCTGTTGTACCCACATCACGGTGACTCATGGTCATGGGTGTGCTGCATCAGGTGGAATACATATCCAAGCCAGTGGTGTTGTGTTAGTGGATCCATGTGGAGTCTACACCATACCTTCAGTCAACTGGCAGTAATCATGGTGCATAATGAAAATAACTCAGCCAGTCGAAAGAGCCGAGACCACCTTGATCATGTAACAGCCTACAATAGAAATGTAGAAACAGCCTGATTGCTTATGATTACATACACAATGTCAACAGGAGCCAGACATTGACTGTGGCGACATTTGAATGCTCACTCTAAGTTTCCCTTACATGTTGTTTCCAGGTGTAACAATCGATAACCTACAAAAAAAATGAAGTCTTACATCCAGCAAAGGGCAACTCCAAAGGTAGCTCAATTAAGAATTCTTCCTCCACTGCATTAAACCTATTATTTAATATAAAATCATCTATGTAATGAATGATGTTTTTCAAAGACCGCATTACTTCAGAAACAGGTTTATTAATGTATGATTTACACAACTTGAATTAGTGTAGTTTTTCATTTAAAATACACGGACATTGATCAACAGAAAAACAACAATAACAAGCCTCAGAGTTAATACTCCTCAGCTGTGTTGAGATGTTGTCAAGGCAGCCTTAAAATAAGATAAGATGACATTTAAAAATATATATATCAAACTTTTTCTTTTGTGATGTCTCATGTTAGAAAAGGCTTAATGGGAAGGTCATTACATGCAAATACATAGTATGCATGCAACTGGATGGAACTATGGAACCCAAAGACACAGCAAAAATAAATGCTTTACAATTGTTGTTTTTTGTGCCAATTAAGGGGGCACATTTTTCCTTTCATATTACAATTCAATAAAGTATCTTTGACATTTGAATTGCTTGAACATTCACTTAATCAATGTATTCATAATTTTCAAATAAACATTTATTTTTTGCATGTGGCTACAGGTTACCTTTCATTACTTTCCTTTTTTTATGCTTTATCATATTTGTCTTTTGACTTTTCTATAAGCAATACTTCTGTTATTATTTCACTCATTTGTTTGCCTTTATCTCTTCATCAGGTTAGACAGTGTTTACTTATGGTAAATAATTACTTTAGGAGAAGCTCATTGCTTCCTCATTTATAACATTTTCACATAAAATGCTCCCTGGAGGCATGGAGACAATTCAGTCTGAATGCAGTTGGCATTATTGCTACCACAGGTGAGTTGGCGGCTGTAAACACCCTGCATGCAGCCTGGCTGAGGTAGAGCTCCCCCGGGGAGAGAGGGAGGTGATAAAGTGGCTGAGTGCTCTGGACTAACTGTGACCAGTTTTTCTGACTGGCTGATGACAAAGTAATAGTCAAAAAGTGGAAAACAACATCTGGATTTGTCCCAGAAGAAAATGCAAGCGACAAAGGAAAGGATGTCATTTAAAAAGTGCTTTTAAAAAAAGAAACATAAAAGATATGAAAAGTAAATCTGATTTAAGTTTATCTGCCAAATGTAAAAAATAAATATATATTGAAAAGGAATCTAGCTTCGATACAAGAATTGTTAGTACCCAGGGCATCTCCGATACCGAACTCCGGTGAACGGCCGTCCAATCTTTTTAGGACTTCAAAACCCCCCAGAATCTACATGCAAGATCAACGTAATCTGCTTAGGGGGGAGTTTACAACGTGGCCTCTTAACACCACGCTGCCCGTTGTATCCCTATTTTAGGCACTCCAGCCTCGGGTGTCCGACCACTAGCTAGGATAGCAAAAGGGTGTGTATGGTGTAGTAGGTGTTGGTGGGCTGGTAGAACCCCAGAGCAGTATCAAAACTGCCCCTGGAGGAGAATCCCTCTGTTAATGGGAGACTCCCTGGTAATTAGGGCAGCTTCAGAACCCACAGCCCCTAACCCCACCCTCTCTTGATCCCCAAATATATCAATCAAAACAATGCAAATGTCATATCAAACACAGCCAGAGTCAAACATTAATGTCACAGCAGTGACATTACCACATCAGCAGAGCATGTGTAATTTCCCCTTAAACAATTTAAATCCAAATCATCAACTAATGTCAGCCTTTTCCAAGGAAGGGTATTCTTACCTCACTCTAAGACCAAGCAGATACCTTCAGAAACCACGAGAGAGAGACCAGGAGTTTGGGTCGAAGTGTACAAACCGGATTTATTAAGGTTTTAACAAAAATTTGAGGATTCAAAATAATCCTTAAAAAATAATAAAGACACCAAGTCAAAATACAATAGCAACAGGTTCTCAAGTCAAATCTTCTCCAGCCGTCTAAAAGAGCCCAAGCCCAGGCCCAGGCCCAGGCCCAAGCCCAAGCCCAGGCCTAGGGCCCAGGGCTTGGGCCAGGGCTTGGGCCTCAGAAAACTTCCCCCAAGAAGCCTCCAAGAAGCCTGGTTTCTTCTTCTCCATTCTTCTTTATAGTCTTCTTCCTCCTCTCTCTTCATCAGAAGGAAGTCACAACTGTTCAACTTTTAATTATTGAACATTACAAAATGTAAGGTTTAAAATTAAACAAATACAAACTTATAGTAATGATATGTAATTTTAAAGAGAGAGAATATGAACAATTTTCATGAAAGCAGAACACATTGTCAATGTCATGACTTTAGAATCAAATTATTTTCTTTAAACATTTAAATTTCAAATATGCAAACTTTAAACTTTAATTCATTAACAGAGACTTAATTTATTAACAGAGACAAATAAGGGCAGCTTGTCTCTATGATTCGCTGGCCCAGGAAGTTGTGTTTCAGAGGTCTGGCACGCAGGTGCAGCAGCAGAATCCGTCGTGCTGGTGCTAATGGACTACAAAGGTTAGGTCAATTAAAATAATTGTAACCATTAAAATGTTCTTTTTACAGTAAAAGGCTGTAAGCTGCTGATATACTGATCTGAGGCATTATCACAGAGAAATTATATTGGAAGCCAAGTGTGTGGGCAAGAAAGGAGTCAGACTGGGAGCCTGAATGCCACCCTGTGACTAATACATAATGACGAATCTCTAAACTGTGAATGCTGAACTACACGGGAGCCCCCACTAAATGTTTGCTCAGTAGTTACTATATACTGTAGAACAAACAGTGCAGCTACCGATAAAGTTGAAACAGGAAAAAAGTTTTGTGTACGGTTACAGTATGTGACCATGTTATGGATATAAATAATTTACATAAAGTACATATACATAAATACATATATTAGTAGAAAGATATGCAAACAATGACTATATAATTCATGTTTCCTATACCATGTCAGTGGACTATATGGCTTAGTCAGGGGAATAGTACGGTGCGAAAGAACCCTACTAGCTTGAAAATAAAAAGAACCCTAAACCTAAATGTATCATTCAGTCCATTTAATGGGCTGCCCCTTTTTCTTTGATGCAGTGCATATGGATGCCACATAATACCACATTGGTTTGAATACAACCACCAAGCAACAACTGTGGAGCTGACAATCATTCAGTGTCTTGCACATTGACAAGATAACTGGTAGGGTAAAAATACACTTTATAAAAGCAGTTGAATGGAATGTTGACCAGATAAATTATGACCAGAGTTCAAATGTAATTGTTATAGATTCAACAAAAAAATAATTTACTCAGTGTTTCTGTGATGAGGGATTTACTTTATGGGTGTATAAAGAGCATTACAGGGAAGCCTTGACTACAGACACTACCTCAGATTGTATCTTTATTTTAAAGATTTCCATTAAAAGGTTAATTCAAT